ACTTTATCTAAAGCTCTAGCTAGTTCTAGATAAAGCGTAATACCTACTTCTTACTAATAGATTATAGAGATAGATCTTAGCTACGTATAGTAAGTAGAGCGTCTACTATTTATTATACGTTAATAATATAAGGTAGAAAACTACGTTAGTTAAGGTCTAGAATCTACTATATAAGAGATTACTCTTTAGTAAGTAATAGCTTTCTCTTCTTAGCGTTAGTAAGAGCTTAAGGCTAGCTATCTTAAAGGCAGTTATAAAGTATTAAATAGAAGATATTAAATAGCTTTATAGCTTTATATTAGCTCTTAATTTAATATCTTTAAATTAATTAAGATATAAGATAAAGTCTATCTTGCCTTTAAGGCGATAGAGAGCGTTATTGTCGCGTTATAACTATTGTAGTGTAGAGCGTTGGGTCAAGTTGGGTGGGGTGGCCGGATGACTGATCTGGCCGGATGACTGATCCTTAACGTTATCGATATAATTGACATAAGATTCACCTACATCTTTCTTGAAATAGTTAAGAATTTGGATCTTTTCTAGCTTGGAATCTGTTGCGTTGTTTGGAAGAAAGAAGAGGAATCAACCTAGACCAGAAAAGAAAAATGAAGGAAGCCCAGGTTTCTAAAGGCACGGTGGTTGTGATCAAGGATGTTGAGATTCCACAGCCGGGTCCCAAGCAAGTCGTTATCAAAGTTATAGTGAGCGGAACTAACCCTAAAGACTGGTACGTTTGCTGTTGTTTTCTTTCTTTCTTCATCATTCACGACGTCCCCATGAATCTCCTCAATCTCAAACATATCATTCCAATCTAACACAAGCACCAACAAACAGGAAACTCCCCGAACTCGGCATGCAAAATGATGCCAACACAGGCGACGATATCGCCGGCTACGTGCACAGCGTCGGGTCCGAAGTCTACGAGTTCAAGCCAGGAGACCGTGTCGCTTCCTTCCACGAAATGATGACTCCTGGAGGCAGCTTCGCAGAGTACGCGGTAGGCTGGCAACACACGACGTTCCACATCCCCAAGTCCGTCTCCTTTGAAGAAGCAGCCACCATTCCCCTCGCCGCCATGACATCCGCAATTGGCCTCCAAGTGCGACTCGGACTCCCCGACCCCTGGACACCCGTGCCCGACGGCAAAAAACTACCCCTAGTCGTCTACAGCGGCGCCAGTGCCGTCGGCGCCTTCGCCATCAAAATCGCCCACAAAGCAAATATCCACCCCATCATCGCCGTCGCAGGCCGCGGAACATCATACGTGGAAACGCTACTGGACCGCTCCAAAGGCGACACAATCATCGATTACCGCAGCGGCGACGACGCCGTCGTAAACGGGATCCGAGATGCGCTCCAAGGAGAAAAACTACACTACGCTTTCGACGCCGTGTCCGAACACGGCTCTTATAATAACATCGCAAAGGTGCTTGACCCTTCTGGCGCGATTGCGCTCGTGCTGCCGGCCAAGGAGAAGGAGGGTATACCGGAGACTGTGACGCTGACGATGACGATGGTGGGCTCGGCGCATGCTCAGGATGCGGATTTCGCACATGTCATGTTTAGGTGGATGGCGAGGGGTTTGCAGGAAGGGTGGTTTAAGGGGCATCCGTTTGAGGTTGTGCCGGGGGGGTTGGCGGGTGTGGAGACGGGATTGAGGAATTTGAAGGAGGGTAAGGCGAGTGCGGTTAAGTATGTTTATAAGATTGGCGAGGAGTGAGGGGAGGTTGTGAGGATGTGTAAGGTGGGGGAGAGAGGAGGTTTAAGTATGGTGTACGTTTTGTGTATATTCATGGAGAGATGAGTAGTATTATTTCATTTGGATAAAGCGACATGATATACCAGATTCAAATCGGTGACGTAGAATATCTACACCTTTGCTGGAATGGAAAGCCATACGAGCCGTCCTTGGTTACAACAATTTTACAGTTTGTGTACTATTACCGGATCCTAAGACATGCTAGTTTAGTATGCTCAACGCAAAAGTCAATAAAATATGCTAACATTTCACCACACTTTCCATACCCCAAATTCTAGTTCGAAACACGAATACTATACTTCCCATCCACCAACTCAAACACCGCCTGCCCATGCTCAACCACGTACTCCTCCTTACCCAAAATCACCTCATCAACTACTACCACCTCTCCACCCTCCCCCTCAACCGGCAACCTCACCCATCCCCTCGTCCCCACCGGCGTCTCAATCACTAAACTATAACCCCCTTCTCCCCTCTCCCACCCCACCCTAAACTTACCCGACCCCGTCCTAAATCCCGCCTCCGCCCTCTTCAAATCCCCAAACCCCGGCTGAACCTCCCACCTCCTCCCCCTCGGCTCCGTAACCCTCATCCCAGCCACCCACTCCGTCATCGCGCTCGTCGGTCCAGCACTCCAACCATGACTATGACTCACATAACTCGCATCGTTTTCATACCCCCTTCTCAGCCCTATTACCCAAACGTTCCATCGACTCTATACCCCATCGATGACGGTGCTACTGTACGTACCGTTGAGGTGCTTAGCGTACCAGCCCCAACTCCGTCGTATGAGGTCGAGACCGCGGTCTGCGCACCCGGATCTAAAGTGTGCTTGGATTTCGAAACCCGAGATGAAGGGGGGAGATGTTACCTGGGAGTTCGGGGGGTTGGGCGCCGAGGGGGGTCCAGTTTTGGGTTAGGGCGGCGGAGATGGAAGATGCGGTTGGGAAGGTGGGTGGGATGAGGGAGAAGAGGAGGGCGAGGCTGTTGGCGTCTTGCGGGTAGAGAGAAGTGTTTGTGGCATTGTCGCGGAAGGCGCCGTGGGAGGGGTCGAAAGAGTGGGTTAGGAGGGCGGACTGGAGGGATGTGGCGCGGGTGCGCCATGTGGAGGCTAGGGAGGTAGTGTCGTTGAGCCAAGTTGCGAGGAGGGCACTGGTTTGGAGGGTGTGGAAGAGGAGGATGTTTGCGGCTGTGTTGTTGAAGCCGGTACTCCAGCGGCCCCAGTCGCGGGTGCCGGTTTGAATTAGGAGGCCCGACGAGTCTACTTTGGCGTAGATGTAGTCAATGGCTTTGAGGTATTTGGGCCAATTCTTCAGAACAAAGTCTGCGTCCTCCGTGTACAGCATGTAGTTGTACGTCCCGACCAGCGTCCACATATGGTACGTATCGCTCTTCTGCTGCAAGAGTGGAGGTCCAGATTCCGGTAACGACCCATCAGCATTCTGGTAATCAAACATCACCTGCAATGCATTCCTCACACTCTCCTATCCCCCGTACTCACAAACGTAGACGGCACCGCAATCCCCATATCCCCCGGCCAAACCGCCTGATCCCTCTTCGCCCCATCAACCAAAATACTCGACCCAGGCCCCAACGTCCCGTTATTCGCCCACCCCTTCTCCAGCATAGGCACCCACCGCCCAGTATTCGGCGACACAGCATTCGTCTGCAGCGTATACGCACCGCCATACCAAATCGCATTCAATCACGCGTCATCGCAGTAAAAAATACCCCTGATACGCGCGTAAATTCGACCGCGTAGGCTGGAAACTCAATTCCAGCTGCGCATCAGTCAATACTACATGCGTCCCCGTATCTGTGAGTAGTAACACAGTCATGTATTTAAATCCGCCTCTCAGAACCTCATCCGGCATCGTATACGACCCCGGTCCCGTGGTTGATATGTTGAAATACAGTGCTCCATCTCCTCCTCCAGGAGAGAATTTCCCGTTGGAAGAGTCGGAGGTGTAGCCGACCCAGTTCAGTGCTTCGGAGAAGGCGATGCCGATGGTGCCTGTGCCGTTGCTGGTGTAAGTAAGTGTTGCGATGCCGCCGACTTCGTAGCCAAAGTCGAACACGACGGTTGTGCCGTTGCCCCGGAGAGTGGCGGTGCGCGGGTAGCTGGCGGGACGTCGGTCGCGAAGCGTGAAGACGGAGCGGGGACGCACGGTGCGGTTGCGAGGTGCGTAGATGGATTGGTCCCAGGGCCCTTGTATGGTATGTTAGAAAATATTTGGAGCAAGTGAGTATGTTGGGGGGTCGAAAAGGGAAAGGGTAACGGACCAGGGAATGCGGCTTCAGTTGGTCCTGTGCAGATGGTGTCTCGCCAACATGCTGCTGCTAGAACTTCCAATGCGAATAGTAATAGTGTAATAATTGTCCATATCAGTTTTGGCATTTCCATTGTGCTCGGGCTGGATCTGTAGGTTCTTGGCGGTTCAGTCACGGAGTTTCGCGACTCCAATTGTATATACGTCCCAGGATACTATATACAACTCGGCATGCAATATGCCGAGCAGGCGCACCAAGCCGGGAAGAAGTGACATGCATGTACGAAGATCAGCAATGCGGGGGGAACGAGGTACAGAGACGCCACAGTAAGACGAAGGATCGTGCCTTGCATGTCACTGACTAAAGCACCGCATTCTTTCGCATTATCGACAAAGTTGTAATTCTGCCCTAACGGACTTACAGCAGACGAACCCAACTAATCTCTTTCTAACAGAATCTTACACCTACAACTTCCCCTTAACCTCACCCCCAAGAATCTCCTCCCTCCTCCTAACATCCACATCCCTCGGCCCCTCCTTCTTGAACTTCGCAGTAATAACCCACTCCCTAATGCCCCTCCTATCCTGCCCTTGCTCTTCCACTTCTTTGCCTGGCCGATCCAAAACAAGCACAGCTGTGCTCTTATCCACACCGCCGATACCATCCTGCTCGCTCTCTCCGTACTCACCTTTGCCAAGGACGATAGGCGAGATACAAGCTTCAGCAAACGGAACCTCAGGCTGACCATTGTAGAAACGCGGCTTCTGTAGGAAATCCAGGAGCCTGTCGCGTTCGGTCTGGAGTTCAGATAGCGAAGGGGTAGGTGAAGAAGGCGAAGTCACCGTCGCAGCTAGATACAGAGACAGCATGAGCGTAAGGAAGAATTGGGGCGGGAACAAGATGATTCTATTTTGCCGAGCAAGATCAATCCATTTGTTTGGCGGCAGGAAGCGTGCTGCGGTGTGTTCGATGCCGCCGTCGTGCCTGGGTTTCGGGATGATGATTTCGGCTTCTTCTTCCAGACCCGAAGCGGGCGGTGTGCCCTTGGGAGCAGCATGCTTGGTTGGTGATGCGGAGCCAAGAGGTAAGAGGTAAATATACATTTGTGTAGTAAAGCGCTTGGGAAGGCTCTCGGGCGTTACCTGTGGCGTAACCCAGCGGGTAAAAGGGATCAGTGATTCAGTGTCGGGTACGGCTCCCCATTTTTCCAACAAGTCTCCAAACTTAATTTCGCCATTGTGAACGGCTTTTCTACCTTGCTCTCTTTCCTCGTCGCTGATTTCTGTGAATAATTTACCGGTTTTCTTGCTCTTGGCTAGCACGATACCGCATTCTTCAAATGTCTCGCGGATGGCTGCCATGCGATATGCCGGTCCGTCTCGATGCCTGTCGGGATGGTCTGGATCAGGTATCTTGCCATCATGGGTCTTTGAGACTGCGCCACCAGGAAATACATGTGCAGAAGCAAATGTAGAAGCCTTGGATACGCGATGGAGGAGCAAAATTTGATTTGTTGGAGATATCAAGAGTACGCTGGATATTTTTAGCATGTGTTGTGTAACAAATTCGGCTCGTTGCCGATAAATGCAATTTCGTGTACGGCCTACCTTGCGCTTGGCCTGGGGACAACAGGCGTCTTGACCGGTTTCTTGGGCAACTGATGGTCTGGATTTGTGGACATTTTGCACTTCTGGAGTATAAATATCCCTCGTTGGTGAAGAGGTAAGCTCGTTGGCAACGCAAGCAAGGGCCGTACGCGTTGCTGCAGTCGAAGAGTTGAGAATGAGCAAACAGCTGGACGTATCGAATTCTGAAAGTGCAACTGTGAGAGTTGAGCTTGACTCTTGAGTGAGATTGGGTTTATCTTGAGCATATCTAGCAAAGAGAGGGCGTGGCCAACATATGTGAGGTGTAGGTGGTATGACACGGGAAGATGCCGAGGTTAAGCCTAGCGCGGTGAGGGACGCGGGTCAAGATGTTGTGGGGAAATTTGCGGCAGCATCACCCTCTCCCAGCTAAAGATAAAGTTTGTACGTTGAAAATGAATAGAGTTCGTGGTATCATTGCTTTTTGGCCTATCCGTTGCTCCAATAACATTTAACCATCAGTCATCTTTGCATATCGCGTGTCTAATAATGAGAGAATCCTATAGCCTGACAGCCACCCACTTAACGCCCACCCAATGCATTGAATCACTTTTGTCCCTTGATCGCCTAAGAGTATAGCTTCTTGTCGAAGCTGTGCAGTCCATGGACGTTACCCTCAGCCTGCGCGCTGGCAGTTCGCAATTCGAACCTGACGGTTCCGTTTGAAACACCCTCGTGGAGCTCCGTAAGGCTCTTGACACCAATGTCTTGCAGAGAGTGCTGGACACCAGCCATGAGGTAGGGAACGAACTTGGTGATGGAGCCACGATCCTGGACAGATCCAGAGACACCCTGAGCGACCAAAACACGGTCACCCTCGGAGAAGTAGCGCGCAGTACCGGCGTTGCTAGCCTTGGAGTCTTGAGCACCGCCTCCGGCCTTCTTGTCCTCCATAGCAGCGATACTGCCCATACCACGGTAGGCCTTGACGAGCTGACCGTCGCGGCTGACAAAGTACTCTCCGGGGGACTCGGTGGTACCGGCGAGAAGACCACCCATCATAACAGTGGATGCGCCCATGGCAAGACCCTTGACAATGTGTCCAACATTCTGGATACCACCATCAGCAATGCAGGGCACGCCGAATCGTCGGGCAAAAGACGTGACGTTGAAGACGGAAGTGGCTTGGGGCCTTCCAACAGCCATGACTTCCTGGGTAATGCAGGCGCTTCCACTGCCCATACCAATGCGCAGACCGTCGGCGCCGGCGGCGATGAGCGCAGCGGCTTGTTCGCGGGTGACGACGTTGCCGCCAATGACATCAAGCTGAGGGTAGGTCTGCTTGACGTACTTGATCATCTCGATCTGGTACATGCTGTTACCCTGGCTGCTGTCAAGGATGACAATGTCGAGACCAGCGTCTACAAGCTTCTGCAGACGAATCTTGTCCTCTGGGCGAGTACCAATGGCAGCGGCAGCGATCAACTGCTTGGAGTGGGGGAGCTTAGAGGCAAGGGGGAAGTTGAGGTTCTTCATCAAGTCGGAGCGCGACAGCAGCGCGATGAGGTTGAAGTTCTCATCGACAATGGGAAGCTTGCCCTTCTTGGATTTGTTGAGGATGTCGTTGGCCTCCTTGAGCTCGACGCCGTGGCGGGCAGTAACGAGGTCGGTCGACATGACCGCAGTGACGGGGTCGTCGAGCTTGTCATGGAACTGGATGTCGCGGGGTGTGATAATACCAACAAGCTTGGAGCGCAGGGTTCCATTCTCTGCAGCCATTGTTAGCAATTGCGCATTGCAAGATCTGAAAAGAAAAAAAATGGCAGATTTGTAGCATTTCAGGGATATTTTCTCCACAGCACGACGGAATCGTTGCGGATGAACGAAAGTTAAAAATTGAAAAGGTAATCATCACGATGCAAGGGGATAGAAGGAGTGCGCTCGACTTACCAGTGACGGGGAAGCCACCGAATCCCCACTTCTCCTTGAGGGCCTTTGCCTGTCCAACGGTAGTGGTGGGCGAAATAACAACAGGGTCCAAGATGAAGCCGTTCTCAAAGCGCTTGACCTTGCGCACCATCTCGGCTTGGTCCTCCTGGGAGCAGTTGTGGTGGATGACACCAAGACCTCCGAGGAGCGCAATGTGGATCGCCATGTTGTGCTCGGTGACCGTGTCCATGGGGGAAGAGACAAAGGGGGTCTTCAGGGAAATGCGCTTCGTGATTGGGGTATCAAGGGCAACCTCAGCCGCGGGGAAGCCTGTGGCCCTGTTAGGATGCTGCGATTACATGGCCAGAGTGCCAAAAAAAAAGTTTCCAGTAGGCAGGGTAGGCAGGAGATGGCAAAATTGCGAGGCAAACGCACCAATGTAGCCGGGAAGCATGAGGAAGTCATTGTAGGTCAGACCGCCGTTCTTCTTGGAGTCAATGAGCGTCTTGACATCAATGCCATCGTGCTCAGGGTACTCGTTCTTGAGGATCTCAAGCGCCTTGGTGTGGTCCAGGGCGTCGACGGCGGTGTTGGTCATGGCGTCGCCGTTTGAGATGGGCATGACGTGAAAAATAAAAGAAAAAAGCTTGTCGAGGAATAGACAAGAGCTGCTGGGGTATCACTGAAGGAAAACAGACCGTGGTTCTTTGAGCAAAGACAGCGGCCGGGGAAAGTTGCAAGCTTTCCCAAGAGAAAAAAAAAGTGTGAGAATGACGGCGGGGAAAGAATTTCAGTCGGCGCGAATGCCAAGGCCGAGTGCGGTTCAGGTGACCCCGCCTTTTAGCGTGTCGGCGGGCGCGTCGCAGGAGAAAGGCATCGTTGGCGTCGAGGGCAGCGCGACCGGCTGCGACCAGGATGGAGCGAGTTGGGCCAAAAGGGCGAGAAGATGGCGACGTGAGCGAATTTATCTCAAGCCGTCGCAAGTGACGCTAGACGACGTGCGCTGGGACGCATTGGCTCCCCGTGCAAGAGGCGCTGTCCAAATAGCGGTGTCGGCCCTCTGTGCAGACGTGACAGGCGTGACAGACGCTGGCCTCTTGGGCGAAATGAGGCATCGAGACACAGCGTCGCCAGGGCCTCGAGGGCTGACGAGCGCTAACACATTGCTTTGCCAGAACCCCCCCGTTGGGATGGGATGAGAAATGGGGGGTGACGTGACGGGCGGGTCGAGAAGCATTCTGGTCGGCTGGCCTCGGTTGGCTCGACAACACACAATGGCAGCCCGAGTAAACATGGGCCCGAAAGCTTGGACTCAACCACCCGTCCATTTGCAGACTCAACGCCGGAGTCTTCATCCTGCGATACCCCATTTCCCGCCCTTCTTTACCCTCGTTGCCCGTGCAGACTCGACTTGCGCGCCTGGTCGCAGGGCTGAATCCGCTTCCTTTGGGCTGTGTGCGCTCTTTTCGTTTGTCCGGCACTCGCCTCCACCATCAATCTCTTCTAATACCCGGGCCTCCATGACGGCCTCTTGAGCCTCAGCTGCAAACAACATTGACCAGCCTGCCTCGAATCCCGTGCAACATATGCTGTCCCGCACCCCGTCGCACCATCGCCCTCTGTCCTCACCATGAGTTACCTGACGACCCCGCGCACCAGACTGGGCCATCCGTCCACGGCGCCTTCCCCACTCCGCCAGACATCAACCGCCTCGACTGCCTCGTCAAGCCGCTCAGATCAACACCCTCCCAGCCGCTCAAGTACACAGTCCAGCAATGCCTCGGCCGGCTATTCGTCCTTTGGCCACCGCCGCGGAATGAGCGAGGCCGCCGGACTCTTGACACGGCGGACAGACGACTACTATACACCTCCAGAAGCCGAGCCCAGCGATACGTATTCGAGTATGCGCAAGGCACTGCGCCCGCTGCAGCAACCCCCCGCAAACCCGCCCTCGCCCGAGAAACTGACAAGACACGCAACCTTTGCGAACCCGCCGTCCCCAGAGAAGCCATTGCGACCCTCGACACCAATAAGTCCATCGTCTGCCGAGAAGATCCTACGACCGCCAATCTATTCAAACCCGCCATCGCCCGAGAAGCTTCTGCGCCCTGCGACAGCCAGCCCTACACGGAGTAACAGCCACATGCGTTCCCAAAGCGTCGAGAACATATATGCCCCATTTGACAGCTCCGTCTCCCCGACCGAGAAGGCTCGTCCGCTTTCGCTAGCCGTCTCACGAAACGATTCTGTCCGCGCACCCACTCGTGACCATTCTGCTCGGCCGCTGTCTCTTCACCTGGAACGACCAGAACTCAAGACCTTCCAAAAGTCATCAACAGGCCATCTCCGTACCCTGTCTAAATTCGCAGAAACCGCCACCGATGACGACTTCGCTATCAAGTCGCCCGAGCAGCAGGTCGTGGGTCTCAATGGGCGGAGAAGGCTTCAGCGGACAGACTCGGCGCGACAAAAGTCGGCATCTACCTGGTCGAGCCGCAACTGGATGGACCAGCAGCGTCAATTCTTGCAGGCATATGAATATCTTTGTCATATAGGAGAAGCCAAAGAGTGGATGGAGGACATTATCGAGACTGATCTGCCCCCAGTAGTAGAGCTGGAAGAAGCGCTTCGAGATGGTGTTACACTGGCAGAGATTGTTCAGGCTGTGAAGGGACAACCGTTGCGCATTTTCCGGGACCCCAAACTCCAATACCGACATTCCAACAACTACGCACATTTCTTCAAGTTCTTGTCCGAGATTGAACTGCCGGATCTGTTTCGCTTTGAACTCATTGACCTCTACGAAAAGAAGAATGTCCCAAAAGTCATCTACTGCATACACGCCCTTTCCTGGCTCTTGTTCCGCAAAGGCATAGTCGATTTCCGCATTGGTAACTTGGTTGGAAAACTGCAGTTTGAAGATCACGAACTTGAGGCAACGCAAAAAGGTCTAGACAAGTCTGGTGTTAGCATGCCCAACTTCTCAGGCATGCAAGCAAACTTCCAGGTCGAGCCAGAACCAGAACCAGAACCAGTCGAGTCAGAAGATGAACGCATCGATCGCGAGCTGGCCGAGAACGAAGACATCATACTAGATCTGCAGGCGCAGATCCGGGGTGCCCTAGTCCGGATACGTTTGGGCATGCTGATGCAAGAGCTCTGGGAT